CGCCGTTGCCGCCCGCGAGCGCGGGCACGCCGCCCGCGGCGCTGGCGGCGCTCGCGCGGCGGCTGCGGGGCCCGCTGAGCGCGCTGGCCGCGGCCAGCTGCTGCCAGGGGTCCGCGGGGCAGTCTACCTGCGAGGGTGGTGGGGTCAGGGGGTCGAGGGCGACGCACACAAGATGGGTGTCGCAGCACTCTTGTGGTGTAGGAACGTGCAGCTTGAGAATGATGACGACTGCAAGGAGGCGTGAAAACAATCCCAGACTCCTTGCGGCGCCGCCGGCTTCAAAAGTGTCGGCCCCAGCGCGCGCGTGCGCAACGGTGACGCGGATGCATGCCCTCGTCGTGGCGCATGAGACGGGCGTGGGGCGCGGCCAGCACCTTGAGTGCTGAGAAGTCGAGGCCAGGGGGCACGACAGTGAAGGCCGGGAAGTGGCGGCCGCGGCGCGGGCGCTTGGCCAGCGCTGCGACCAGGGAGGGGTTGTACCTGCCGAGGCGGACGCCCAGGGGGGGGGGGCGGCGCGGAGCGTTGAGGCTCGGCCGAGGGGCCCATGAGCGGGGCGAAGGTGGACAGGGGTGCCACCGCTGCCACGAGGACGCACTCCCTGCGCTCTGTTGACCGCCCTCCCTTCAATTCCGGGAGACGAAGGCCAAGGAGTCCACTCCCTCTGCCCGACCCCCAACCAACACCCAGGCGTGTCCCCGGCAGGAGCCCGCCCCACAACTTTCCCGCCCCTCGACCCAAACTTCAGCCGCAACCCCTCTCAATTTCAACTCAATCTCAGGCCCCTGAACAAAAGCCTTACCCGTCGTAGAGGCCCCACTGGTCCCTGACCTCCTGCTGGGTGGAGGTGAACACCACCAGCGCCGCGTCCAGAGAGCGCTCCTCGGCCTCGATGCGGCGCGATATGGCGTACACCGACTCGATCTCCTGGCGGGACATGGTGCCTAGGTGAGTGTGGGTGAAAGAAAAGGGTGGAGCGTGGGTGTGCGAGTGAACGTGAGCTCGTCAGTGTTGAGTGTGTGGCGGGTTGTGGGTGTGTTGGGAGACGAAGGGGTGAGAGTTTGGGGTTTGGGGTCTGGGGGAGGAGATGTGCGCAGGGGGGGGGGTTGCAGCTGCGTGTGCTATCGTTTGCATGCCTACGGCCAAGCTATCGTGCATGCATAGAGTCCTCAGGCGCGCGCGATTCAGTGCGCGAGTGCATCGGCACACGAGCGCGCGCATGCGCGTGTGTCTGAAACAGGCGAGCAAAGAGGGGGCTGCCAGCTTTGCGGTTTGACGCTGTGGTGCCAGGCAGGAGAGGCGGCATGCAGCAGCGACCCTGGGCAGGCCCTCAGCGGGCACGGCCACGTTTATGTGCAGCTCACGTCCTTTGAGCAGGTGTTCCAGCTTGTTGCGGCCCAGGCTGTGGCCGGTCAGCACCATGTCGCACCCCAGGGTGAAGCTCATGAGGGCCGCCGCCTCACCGGCGTCACCATAGTGGCCTGGTGACATCGCAGGTGGTCGGGTTGGTCAGGTGGTCGGGTGGTGGTCGGAGGGTGGGGGGGTTGGATGGTCGGGTGGTCCGTCAGCAAGCAGAGGGTGCGAGCGTCCAGGGTTGGGGGACGCAGCGGGAGCGAGGAGGAGGAGGCGCGGCCGCACGGGCCGGCTGCAGGGTGTGGGTGCGGGCCGGCGGCAGGGGCCAGGCAGCCCTGTGAGTCGAGGCCTCACCACTCACAGAGCTGACAGGCTGCCGGCCCCTCAGTGGCGCCTCTCTCTTGTCTCCTCCCACGTCCCTGCTTCCGGGGCCCCCCACCCTCCCCTATGGTCCCCGTTCCCGCCCCAGACCCTCACGCGCCCCTCCCTCCCATCTAACCCTCCACCCTAAGCACCTGCAGCCGCTCCCCGCTGCGGCGGCCTACTGAATCAGCCCCCTTACCCTGGACGTCCACCACCCTCATCCGTGCCTGAACCCTGAACCCTGAACCCTATACCTGAAAACCCTGGGCCCGTCACCCCGGCTTCAAGGCACCGCCTCACCGTGGATGTGGTAGAGCTCACAGACCTCCCCCGCCGCCGCCAGCCGCCCCATGGTCGCGGTCACGTGGGCGAGCGCGTTGTCGGCAAACTCGCGCACATACGGCCACAGCGCCTCCTTCCTGCGGCACGCCGCATGCGTCGAAGGGGTGGGTACAATGGTACAAGGGGATGGGGCATGCGGGGCATGGAGGGCAGGGCGTGCTGCGGGGGTGTGCCAGGCCTCACATGCACATGGCATGTGACATGCGTCTGAACAATGGGGCGAGAGGGGGTCGACGGGCACCGTCAGCCGTCAGTCGGCCGCCCAGCTGCCGCGACGATACGAAGAAGAGCCCCAAGCCGCGGCGCGAGGGGAGCCCGAGGGCAGCGGGAGGCAGGGCGTGCCTGATGTAAGTGTCGGTGGGGCCGCACGCGATGCGCACGATGCGCGCGCCGCCGAGGCGCCCCCCGCCGCTGCCCTCCGCAAGCAGCTCCTCGGCTTCCCCGTAGCTGCCGTCGACGGACGGGTCGCGGATGAGGCGCGTGAGGAGGTCGACGCGGTGTACCGCGGGGTGGCGGGACAGCGCCTTGGCCAGCTCGACCACATACTTCACCTGGGGAGGAGGGGCGGTACAGCGCAGGAGTCAGGGTTCAGAGAATTTGAAGGGATTGAGACCGGGGCTGCTGCCGGCCGTTGCAGCAAGTTGGGGATGTGTGCATTGCGTCACCTGCGGCCCCTTCAAACGGCGCCGCGCTGCCGCCGGCCGCGTCTCCGGGTGCTCTAATTGCAGCGCCGCCCGAAGCCGCGGCCCCCCTCGCGCCACGCGCTGCCCAAATTGCGCCCACCTGGCCGCCGGTGTCTGCGTCTTTGCCGAGCTCCATCTGGTCCCCTCTGACCAGCCCGTGCATGCTGATCAGGACACAGTACAGCCTCGGCA